ACTGATTTATGTTTCCATGCAATCTAGTGTCACCGTATTCGTTTCGATGATTACATAAAATGCTGATCGGAACGTTTAAAGTTGTTATGTGCTTGCGCTTGCATGTACAGCCGATTGCGCTTGTGCCATAACTTCTGGAACACAATACATGCAGCATATACAAAAATTACTAGCTACGGCTTTGGGAGATGAATTAATAATACATCAACATCAGTGTACATTTCTAAAAATAGACGACTGTCACTCTGCGAAATTTCACAAAATTTCGAATTTTATTTCAACCAAAGGCTTGGTAAACTTTCTCGAATAGCAGACAATCATGTTTATGATAGTATAACACAGAACAAATACACCTGTGTTTACAATATATACACGATGAATTTGTTGTAACAATATTCATGAATGTTTCGAGTAACTTGCAGGGATAAAACTAAGTTCGGTGAAGTTACGAATATCGCGTTCTCATAATTATTTGCTATTATATTTACATACATGCGTATATGCTTATCGCTTATGCACAACTACATCGGGCTTGACAAACGCAATTGTTCATCTAAAGATTTCTAGGACGTTGAGTTTGAAATCTGTTCTCGTTGGATAACGTAGAGTAGGAAATTGTTGCGTTCCTTTCGTTCTCTTGAAATTAGAGGAAGTTGTACTCGAATGCTGCATAAACTGCATCGCAGGAAGTATATCGCTTCATAGTATGGTTACTTTAGTTACGTTAAGTTGATGGGAAAATTCTAAATTTAGCCTTCAGAATGAAGCTTGATTGTCGTAGATATTGATATTGTGTGCTGTTACAAAAATGATGTGAGAGCAGATCTATATTTTCAGACATTAATGAACAGACTTAATGACTTGTAAAATGTGATTCTGTTTGTAGAAACAAGCAAGCGTCAGAATATTCCAATCAACCAGCTAGCATCTTCGATAACGATCAAATACTAAATATTATAATGCTGTGATAACGAGGCATTCTTATTTTGCTTATGCGTGATATTGTTTAATCGCTATAATTATTACTAATCTCGCTCAAGATGCAATGCATTGTTTGCCATAGTTTAACGAGTACAAAAAATGTTCTCCTTCGTCTGCGAAAATACTATTAAAACGACCTAGAAGACGACTGTCGACTCATCGACGATATTAAAATTACGCGACGATGCCAAAATGTATTCGAACAGTAAATTTCGAATTTTCGATAAATTTTGGACCATAATTTCGTCGAAAGCTGCGCTTCTGCAATGGACCGGGACTCGTTTTAAAGTCGCAAACGTCTACTTTCGTTCTTCTTTTTCGATGATATCTTCGCTTGTTTTAGTAGGCGAAGAACTGAAGATAGTTTGAAGATAGTTTGCCCTGAAAAAAAATGTTACGAGTTTAAATATTTTACAGTAAATTCTCTGCAATCGTCGCGCAGCTTGCAAAACGAAGAAGCCGCGAGGGTCGAAATAATCGTATCTCCTCTTCCCAAACGGTCCACAAGCTGAAGGACAATTGGAGAGAATTTACAGTATTTTGAAAACGTTACAAATTGAAGCGTTTCGTTTTGAACGGATCGCGAATTAAAACGCGTTGCCTTATAAACGTAACGAAATGAAACATTTGAACAAATATTCGTGCCGGTTTAATTCAATATTCGGTGCAATTCTTAAAATGTTATTCCGTTCGGAAAGGTTCCGCTTTCACAACGTGAAATATATTGTACCTCTAAAGTGATTATTCGAACGAGCAAATGTGATAATTTGATCGTGGTTATCCGTAACAAATCGACACTTTTATAGCAACGTATCTGGATCCAGGAGGATTCGGGGACTCGCGGCAATGTTTGAAGGACGGCGGATCATCGCCGCAAACGCCGATCACTGGAAATCACTTGGATGTGCCGCGTTCTCTCGATCCAAATCCCAATTTACTTAGTCCCGAGATTCTTACGCAAAGGGGAGGTAAGACCGAGCAAACTGTATCGCCGCAATTAATGGATACAAATACAGTTAACAATTGCAGCGTCCTTGTCCGAACATTTGTTTTTACAATATTCTGATATCCAAACGTTCTATTATCGAATTATAAGTTATAATAAGTCGATAAATTGAAGTGAATTAAATTAAAGTAAATTAAATTAAGGTCGATAAGTTATAAGTTATATAAGTCGAAAGTTATATTATCGAATCACTGTATTAATTAGGCAGCACAGAAATCGACTGAAATTTTTAGATAACAGAATGTTTCGGTATCAAGATATTGCGATAATATAATTATATAATATTATTATATTATTAATATATATAATATTATTATATTAATAATATATATAATATTATTATATTATTAATATATATAATATTATTATATATATTATATATATTATTATTATATAATATTATATATAATATTTGGATGTAATATTAATTTTCTGTATACTAATTTTCTAACTTACCCTTTGAACACCTTGTACATTGAGAAATTAATTGATCAACACCTTTTCCATTTTCGCGACTGTTCTATCGTCGATGATTACAACAATTCTGAGCTTCGTTCTGCAATTTTTCGAAACATATTTTTGAATATGTAATTTAAGAACGTCGATACAGAGATTAAATTCGATTCGTTCGAGTTATTAAAGAAGGAGAGAGAGAGGGAGAGAGAGAGAGATTCTCATCTCGTTGCTCGCATAATTTATGCAGAAAATTTGTGTCCCCGTAAAAAGATCCCCGCAGTCTAATAAACGCTCGAAAAAAAAATCAAGCTCGACGTTGGAACAGTTTTCGAGCTTCCTCCTCAAACGCCTATCTTTATTTAAATCGCATTCAGGAACCAGAAGGCCGAGCATCCTGCCTGTGCCGGACATGTTAACGAGCTCGACGTTGCATCTTCCTGGCCAGGAATCGCTGGACCACGAGGGCGACGAGTCCGAGGATGAAATGGACGACGACGTTCCGTGGAGGTCGCCGAGCGAGAAGATCGCGTGAGTATTCTGCAAATGCAATTTAATTGTCATCTCCTGCGTCATGTGCCCCATCCAGAGTGGCAACGGATCAAGGTATTCCAATACCTATAACTGGACACGAAATATTTTGAAATAACGAAACAACCGTTTCCCGCATCATTAGTGACGTCAGATATTTTTTCTCTTTTTTTGGGTCCATCGTCTACAGATACCGGTCCCATTTTATACTACGAATAAATATGCTGTCGAGGCAATTTTTATTTCTCCAGTCGATTGAAAATTCTGTGTATTCTATGTGTATACAGGGTGCCCCAAAAATATTTGACAATTCGGAAATGAGTTCCTGAGCTCATTTGCAGAAACTTTTTCCTTAGCGAAAATGCGATCCGCAGCTTCGTTTACGAGTTATTAACGAAAAACAGCGACCAATGAGCGGCGAGATATGCTGGCGCGAGACGGCCGAGCCAATGAGCGGAACTGGGCTATCGACCGCTAGTTGACTCGGCCCCGCCTCGCGCCAGCCGAGCTCGCCTCTCATTGGTCGCTGTTTTTCGTTAATAACTCGTTAACGGTGCCTCGGAGAAAATTTTTGCAAAGGAAAAAGTTGCTTCGAATGACCTCAAGAATGTTCTCATTCCTATGAAATCTACGCGTTGCTGTTACCGTACTTTGGATCTAAAGAATTGTTTCTCATTTAGCGCGAATTGATTGATTCATTCTGTTGCCACAGATCGATCCGTCTCGGCATAATTGCAAGCACAGTTTAGCGTTGTTTGTACTGCTTCGAATTGTGGTTCGAATATTTGGTGTCCAGTATAGTGTGCACGAGATTCTCGTGAACGCAAGAAACGAGTCGTCAGCGCTGGAAGTATATACACGCATACGTGCATACATTTCATACGCATATGTATATACATATATTACTGAATAGATATCTCTGCTGCGACTACAATTCTTCTCTTTGACAGATCTCTTTGATAGATGTAACGAAGCACGATCGTCAGATCCTCGAGAGCGAAACGATCCTGCACATTTTCGTGCACTTGCATGGCACGGTCTCTTATGCATCGGACGTATCTGTGTAAATCATTTATCGTGCCTCTATATACATATATACAGAGGTGCCATATACATGCGTATGTATATAGAGGTACATATTACGAATCGTGGTATAAACGGAGCAGAGTTGGGCACTGGTTATAATTTCTAGTCGATCAATCGATTAATGTTCACGATTGAAAAGAATCAAAAATCGCGATTGACTTATTAAATTATCGATTATTGATTGTCCGGACATCTCTTTAATTAAATTAAAAAATTAAATTATAATATATATAAATAAAATTAAATTAAATTAAAAAATTGAATTGGATTGAATTGAATTGAATTGAATTGAATTGAATTGAAGTTGCTAATTAAATGAATAATCCCTAATTAACAACGTAAATCGTTTATTACTCTCCTTTAGCTTGAAGTCGAAATTAAATCGAAATTCTACTCGATTTATGGTTCCAGTGAATTACGCGCGTCAGAAATATTTTTGCTATTCTCGTTGTTTCGATCGATGCACGAATTGCGATAATGACGAACGCTACTTATTTCGTCATTGAATCAATTGATTATCGAACAGCTACTACGGTTAACTACGATGGTATGTTAATTAAATTGAACGATCGGTCGTTAATTGCGATTCGAAAATCGACTATTTAAATTCTAACGGTTGATCGTTAAACAACGGTAAATATTGCCCAACTCTGCAAACAGTAGTTGGGAATATTCTATGCAGCTCAATGTGAAATGTGAACGGCGAAATAATTTTTTACAGTATGAAGCGTCATTTCCGAGGAGAACGAAATCGATAACGATAATTGACTAAAACTTTTCAGTGGAGCAGACGGTCAATATTTCAAACAATATCCAAAGTAAACACGGCGAATCGAACCGGCTCCACACGGCCATCCGTTAGATTGCTTTGTTCATCAACTTTTCTGCTAATATTTTCTGTTTATTCAAAATTTTCTGTCGAACTGTCGATTATTTCCGGGCCTCAAATGTATTAACCAACGCAGCAAATTTCTCTCTAATTGACGCTGAGATTGAACGCGAAAACGGACAATTTGGGAAAGGGAGATTCGATTATTATTATTATTATTGTTATTGTTATTATTATTATTATTGTTATTGTTATTATTGTTATTGTTATTATTAGTATTATTATTGGTATTATTATTATTATTATTGTTATTGTTATTGTTATTATTATTATTATTATTATTATTATTATTATTATTATTGTTGTTATTATTATTAAACGAGCCGCGAGGTTCGAATAATCGTACCTCTTTTTTTCCAAATTGTAATTTAGAAAAAATTGAGTAATATTATTAGTAATATTATTATACATATATTTTATTACAATTTTTGTATTAAGTAATACTTATTTATTTTATTTTATTACAATCTATGTGTATATAATATACTGATATATCATAATATTAATATTTTAATAATATACTAATATGTAATATTAAATATAATAATATATAATAATAATATAATAGTATACACAATAATATAATAAATATAATAATAATATTCCAAATTGTCCATTTTTGTTTGTCAATTAGGGGAATTTACTGTAATTGCTCTTATTAAGGGTAAGTACCGACGGTAAACAAGCGCGCTGTCTATAAAAAAAAACAGTTGCACGAGTAATTCCTAGCGGAAATAGTAATTATGTCAGGCATCAATTTAATTAACGTTAGAAGCCGAAACTTCGTACGATAAAAAATTATTGTATTACGTTGAGTGGTTTTTGAGCGATAGAACTTTCCTCGGCTTACGTGTATACATCACGATTCGCAAACTATCCTGCGTATTAAGATCGTTTGTATCGATATCAGCAAGAAAATATTGGTTATAATTAATTATATAATTAGTTGAATAAGAACGAACTTATTTAACTAATTATTCCAAAAGATATTATCGATTTCTATTATTTCCCGTTTTTACATCACGTTATGTAAATCATTGTTATTACTTCTGTTTGCCGAAAAGACACAAAAGCAATGAAAACTATAGCAAACACATTTGGCATAGTTTCACTCGGCAAGAAAATGATTTACACTTTTCTGTATCGTCTTCTTCGACGAACTTTGAATTCTATAATACATAAATTCTAATAAATTCTTTTTCCAGTGGAATACATTTTATATTGTATTTTTTTATACTTTGTGCATTGATATCGATAAAGAGTAATTGATAAGGTAGGAATCTATTATAATATCTACCGCAAAGTAGGTTTCAGTGACCTCTCACAGAGTTGGACACAAACTTAACACTCTGTTGATAACGTCGCGATCGACAGGGGTCGCATGGTCGCGTAACTTTTGAACGTTTCAAAATTCTTAGACAAAATTTGGGGCTTTAAGTCTATTTTTATCGAGTCGTCCCACGATTAATGTCATTTTATATCCTACTTTAAATAAAAATTCCAACGTGGATACTGTGGAATGCACTTAAATCAGAAGTTTTTTGAAACACATCTGTGGCATTCTATGCTGTTCGAATTTGAAAAATGCAGTACAATTAAGGATACTGTGAACAGTTTTGTGAAATATACATATATATGTTTTGTGAAATATTTATATCAGAGATACTAGTAAATATAGTAGTAAATATACTAGTAAATATATTAGTAAATATATTGGTAAATATAATAGTAAATATACTATTAAATATACTATTAAATATACTAGTAAATATACTAGTAAATACACTAGTAAATATACTATTAAATATACTATTAAATATATTAGTAAATATTACTAGTAAATATACTATTAAATATACTAGTAAATATACTAGTAAATATATTAGTAAATATACTAGTAAATACACTAGTAAATATACTATTAAATATACTATTAAATATACTATTAAATATACTAGTAAATATACTATTAAATATACTATTAAATATACTAGTAAATATACTATAGTAAATATACTATTAAATACACTAGTAAATATACTAGTAAATATACTATAGTAAATATACTATTAAATACAATAGTAAATATACTAGTAAATATACTTGACCTAATCGTACCTCCTCGTCCCAAAATTGTGCATTTTTGTTTACCAGCTGAGGGTTAATTAGGGAGAATTTGCTATAGTTTGCGATGCTCGTGAATGACGTATTTGATATTTGAATCCAGACACGATGAATCTGAATCTGATCGAAAAGTAAAGTTCGATGTTGAAATGCTAACGGTTATAATTCAAATTGAACCTCGTTCCACCATTGAGAACGTGGCAAATAGACTAAGTTCTAGCTGTAATACTCTTCACAGATGTTTGTGCACAAATTGGAATAACATTTAAGCTCTGGGAATGGGTCCAGCATGACCTATAATTAATATACATATAGTGATATCAATCTTAGAAAGTTTAGTTTCATTATATTTTCAACAGAAATTTATTTAGAACTTTTCAATTCTAATAGATCTTTTTATTTTTAGATTAATCGATTTTGTACGAGGGTGTATCAATTATAATACAACACAAACAAATCATTACTTATGGAATGATCTATCATATTTCTGTTCTATTCTATTACACCAGGGGTGTGTCAAACTCAAAAGCTAATTTGGGCCATAATAATAAATAAACAATGCTTAACTTTAGGTGGGCTGCAAAAAAGAAATCAATATTCATAGAAACAAATATTTTTATTTTGACTAGTACATTGTAATAAACATATATATAAAGTTAAATTATTGTTTACGTCCTGATACCTGACACCAAAAATGTTCATCTCGGGCCGCGAGTTTGACACCCCTGCATTACACCAATTTGAACTATAGTTAATTGCTAGTTAACAATTAAAATACGATCGTATTCCATGCAAACTTATATTTGACCAATATTTTCTTGTGCATTTTACCAAAGTATATTATTTATAATATACAACAATATACAACATAATATATAATATATAATATACAATATAATATACAACAATTTTAATTGTGCAACCGTTCGGTTGTTGCTGAAGTTACAATGAAAAATACGCAGGATCCTCTTACCTGATATTTAATCCTAGAAACGAAATTCTACAGCTGCGCTGCGAGAACCGTGCACCACGCACGTTCAGATTCCTCACACTTTTTTTCTTAAATATTACTTCTTACGATTACAACACTCGATGTGACTCAATCGTCCGCCATTTTGGCACCGATATATACGAACGCCCATTTTTTACGAAACCTTAACATTCGATCGACATTCCGATCGTTATCTTGTATCATTCTACAATCGTCGTAACTTTTGCTCTACCGTCAACTTAATTAATTAATACAGGACGAAAACTTTGAATACATAATTGAGCCGTTTATTTTGAAAGTGGCATAAGTCACTTCACCGTAATGAAAAGTGGTGACTTTTTGATGTTTATACGTAATTATTTATACTGAGAAAAACATCCTGAGATAACAAATACAAGTAAATCTTCTCGAAAGCTAGCATCCATATTTTGAAACGGTGTTAAAACGCAAACCCTTAAATATATCGACTTAAAAACAAAAAGTGACTTACGCCACTTTCAAAATAAACGGCTCAATTCTTAAACGACGAAGTTGATTTCAATTGAAACTTTCGATCTGTAACGATGTTACAATTCCATTCTCATTGCCAAATACATCAATTCTCGCACGTTGAAAGTAAAAAGAGGGTATTCGACTGCGCGTACAAAAACATCGTGCCTTATTATAATCCGTCTAATTGAAAGCATTTTCGTCGTTCTCCGGTTTGAAATACGGATCTTTCTGTCGACGGAAGTTCGGTTCCGACCGCGAAAAGTACACGGAGGAATTCCAATTTTTCTCTGCACGCGTGTGTTCGAGTAACGTCGAGTTGTTGAAACGTTCGTATGCGACGGTAACAAGAGACAGACAGGCCGAGAAAAGGTAAAGAAAACGAAAAAAAAAGAATGTTTTGATCGTGGAGAGGATCGATGCTGCCGCTTGTCCATCATTCACCGTCCGAAATACAATTAAACGAAAAGTTTACGTTGATCGTCGGTCTGTCCTGTCTGAATGTCTCTCGGTGCCTGTGCCACTACTCGGCGTGGACGGTATTGAACCCGCTGCTCGATGCTGTCCTGCCTGACACCCCTCTATGTCCTCGTGGATGTGTTTTCGATGTCTTCTCCTCCCTGCATCGTCTTTATGCACTGTCGTCTTGACGCACGACCTTTGCCCGGCAGTTTCAAAGGGTGAGTTTACGTTCTTACGCTTCCACATCATCCGCCCTTACCTTTCGCCCAATCGCAGAGGGAGCATTCGGAATTCTGGGATATTCATCATTGGTAGAGTTTAGGTGAACTCCAGGCGCTATGACCGTGACGACCGAGGCATTGATTAGAGATTTCCGATAGCGAGTCGTTGATGAATTATTACGTTAAGGAGGATTGTTATATTAATATTATTACTATATTATATTAGATTAATATTATTATTATATTATGTTATATATTAATATTATTACTATATTATGTTATATTAATATTATTACTATATTATATTATATATAATATTATTATATTGTTATATTACTATAATATAGTAATAATATTAATATAACATAATAATAATATAAATATAATATAATATAATAATATTATTATATTATATTAATATTATTACTATATTATATTATATTAATATTATTACTATATTATATTATATTAATATTATTACTATATTATATTATATTAATATTATTATTATATTATATTATTTTAATAATAACATTATTATTATTATTAATATTATTAAGAACAGCTAAGGATCTTCCACGCTGATGCTCCAATCTGATCCATCAACTCTTTTCGCTTCCTCACAGTACAGGAAGTCCCAAAATTATGGTTCTTCCAGGAAATGAGGAGTTCTTGAGGGGGTCATTCGAGTCACTTTAATGTTAATTCCTTCAGTTCATATATCGGGTGGTCCACTAAGAATTATTATCATATTTAATAGCCTTGAATATTTCTGTCATCTTAGGAGATATGAAAAATCTTTGTTAACAAAAGTATTTCGGTATAAATAGGTCGTAATAATTTTGATTCATCTGGAGATTCCACTAATCTCAATAGAAAATTGGCAATTCTAAACAACAATAAAACTACTAGCAATTCCATTATAAGAAAAGAAATGAAAAGAAGTTAGAATGTTCCATCTCTGAATACTCCTTCGGTAATTTTCCATTTCCACAACGATCATACCTAACAACAGTAACGCGTGAATCGTTAAATTATTAAACATTTCGCATACAGCATCCACGGCAAGGTGGTACAAAACAATTGACACGTTTGCACCGAAAATCACAAAATGTTTTCCAAAAATCCAGAATTCCAGTTTAAATGGCATTTAAATATAAAATCTGTAAAATCTGTAAAATTCACATTAACAAAATATATATATATATATATATATATATATATATATATTATCTCTGAATCGTAACGAGCCTTTCAGTGGTCGAAATAATAAATCAGCCCTTTATTTTAGCTTTCACAAAATAAAACGAAACTTTTATAAAACGAAGGAATCGCTCGAAGCTTCGCGGTCTAATTGACGCATTCGGATTATGACAGGCGGATCGCAAATGCGCTATAAAAGTCGAGAAGGAGAAGCAGTCGATAAAATTCTGAGAGACGCGACGCGAGAGGATTCGTGGTCTTCGGGGTATTCGAGGTGTTTGATGCCGAGAATTTAATCGAGTGCGCCGCACGCTGAAGTTCGCCGGTTAATTCTGCTCGCTAAATCACGAACTATGTACTATGGGGGCGAACTACGAAATTGAAGTCGGCTATTTCGAAATGCGAAATGCTGACAGAGATTAATAAATCGGCCATGTGCGCGCATTCCGAAGCTAATATATGTATATGTGCTCTCGGTATCGATATTTTTTTTTTAACGTCGCCGCGTCAAGGCGAATTCGCCGAAACGTTTCGCGTCGGCGCGCAACACCTATTCGTGGAAATTGCGCGACACGGTTGTTTACCCGGTCACATGGATTTTCCCGCGATTCGGGCCCGGACCAACGGGAAACTTTTTCTCTAAATATTATCCTAGCCCATAAAAAGTGTCCCCGGAGGCCGGAGATTCCGTTGAAAATTCCGGACACGCTGCGCGAGCAACCCCGTGGCCATTTACTCTTCATATTGAATTGCGAGAACGTTTACATATACGTACATATGTATGTTATATGTAGCTCGATGCGTTTCGCTGTTCGACGCTTTGTTACGAAATCGTGCGACATGAAATTTCGAGATACTTTACGAAATTTTTGTCATCGTAAAAGTTCTTGTCGATTGCGTGCGAACGATCGAATCAATGATTCGGCACGTCTCAACGTGAAATGATTTCGATCAGTATTCACATTTGTGACAGCCTATTCTGCATATTTATTATTTTAAAAACATTAGACAAATATCGCTGTTGCTTGGAGGAATATTCGCCCGAGAAAACTGGACATTGGAAAACATTTATGTCAACGGTGCACGCGCAGTCTTTTTCTTCTCCGTTCATATTTACTGTACACATTTTCAAATTTTATTTTTTTTATTCCCATGT